AGACATAAATGTGAGAAGAGAGGAAAAGCACAGAGATGGTACTGAGGAAATGACAATGGATTCAAAGATGGCAATAAGGTGATTTTTGTAAGCATCTGTCGAACTATTTAATTAATCTCCAAATCCTCTCCCGACAATATAAGGCCCATTTGTACAACCCTCCTGCTAGGCCACTCACACTTCCCCAGCCAGACATGCTGATAAGATGGGATTCATCACACCAACCTTCCCCATGCTCATGAAGGCAGATTGGCTTGCACAGATGGCAGGTGTGTTCAGCCCTGCCCTTCTAGATTGACACCACCATGACTTTCCCAGTGGGCACGTGTCTTTCCTCTCTTTGGCATGAAGAAACTGTTTTTCACTGGTCCTTGTTTCTATTTTGTGTTTGTCTAGTCTCAGATACAGCTGTCACTGCAGCAGATTTTTCTTAGTGAAAATTCCCACTTTGGTTTTGCAAGCATCTTAATTAACGTAAATTATTTTACTACACTTTGCTACTGATAGCATGTAATTATCTCCCCACAGGTATATATTTAGCAAACCAGCAGGCTGATCAAAGACCTACAAAATAAGGCACTTTTGCAACTGACACTAGCTACAAGCAAAGGCCAGCAGGATGGGACCAAAGGAGAAGGGAGGAATTTCCCCTCCCGGGTCCTAAACACACAGCTCAAATTTCTCTACTTGAAAAGATAATGATAACATTAACTTACACATTTTATCAGAGGAACATAAAGATGCATCGATACTTAAGGGCTGTAAAGGAGGAAAGAATTGTGTACATGCTCAACTATTAATCACTGGTAAGTGATCCCCTCTGTAAAGTGTTTTGAGGTTGACTAAGGAAAAAGGCTCTGGTATAACAGAGCAAGCAATCCGGTTACAATCATAGGTGAATTCTCTCAGCTGCTTTTGCTGGGTCAATCCCTAGGTATTATTATCCAGGCAAGGCAGTTCACCATTTTCCTGAGGAAGTCTGGCCAGGGAAGAGATTCCAAACGCCACACCCCTTTCTCACCCTGTTTGACTTGGGAGTCTGGTTTCCATTGCAAGCGCGTTTTTAGATGAATGAGGTTGAGTCCTACACTGAGGAGCTGCCCTGCTGCTCACCACATCAGACTGTCCATGCAATTAAAAAATAACAGACTGGATCAAACTACCAGGGACTGTAACTTTTCTCCAAATCACTGTTTGATAAAACCTGCATCTCTCCTCTGAACTTCTGGAAGAGCTGGTAGCCCATGATTTTTCTTTCTCCTTTATGGCCATTTAACCTGTGCTGTTGGGAAGACATCAGATTGAAATAAGAGTTTAGGAGCCAGGAAGCATCCGATGCCAAACCGCATGTTTCAGAACCTTGTCTGTCCTCTTGGGTAGGTTTGAGTCTTTATTAAAAGCACTGGGTGCTTTGTCATCAGTTCCAGTGGGCGCAGGATCAGTTGGGTAAATCCTCATCTCTTGACCTTCCTGAAGGCCACTCTGTGCTACTCTACACACCTAGGGACACTGCCTGCATGTCACTGCAGTGTCACTGACCACCAGGCCCAGGCGAGACCCCGAGTGCTCAAGAGGATGGCACAGAGAAGGGAAAAAATGACCCCGGCCTCTGGGATCTTACAGTCTGAGGGAGGTTGTGCTGTGTTTTTACTCCTCCTTTTCAGTGACTTGAATGGAGGGTGTTACTTAACTTTTCAGGCCACAACTGAATCTTTGCTCTGAAAGCTGCAATATTCCGTCTTGCGCTCGCTACCGGAAAGAGGAAACCTCTCTGGTGTCCATTGACGTCTTTTGCAAAGCACTCTGGGCTCTGGAATGACGTGCTCCCTATTATTTCCATGCCATTACTGATAAACTTCACAGTATCTTCTAGAGGGATCTTCAGTAAGATGAAAACCTCAGGGCAACACTCCATTAGGCTTTTATTTTTAAAGGTTTGGTTCAACCCTCCTGAAACTGGGAGGTTTAACTGCGCTCCTTTCTCTGGGGTAGCTGAAGGAGACATTAAGTCTGTTTCTACCCACAATGCAAGATTGCTTAAGTTCCTGAGGCTCGTGGAGGAGAGTTTTGGGGTAGGATGTTAAAGGGAAGGTTACATGTGGATGGACAATGCAGTGCAGGGGGAGGAGGAGGCAAAAGACAGAGTATTGAAACAGGCAGGGAACGGAAACTTCAGACAGCCTGAGCAATCATTGATATAAAACCTGGACTGAGTACAAGGAACAGGGATTTGGGGTCAGGTTGCTGCCTGGAGCAGGTCTGGAGCTACATGCATGGAAACTGGCTCTCAAATGTCTGATTTCTTCTGTGTTCAGGAAAGAAGGGTGGAGAGCATTCTTGTAAGCAAACAGAAAGACATCAGAAATACCTTTCTTCATCACTCCTCCTCCCATCTGGATCAACCAACAAGACCCTGAATGTTGGCCAGCAGCACGGGTCAAAGGGAGGAAACGTGTGCTGCAAAACCTCCTGCCCATCTGTACCATTGAACTCTTCCTGTGTGGGTCAGGATTAAACTGTCCCAAAGATAACAGCACTGTTCCTCTCCTGCTCTACCAGAGTGGGCAGCTCAGGGCAAGGCTTAGGTCACTGCTGTCCCTAATTGCCCTGGAGATGTATCCTTGCTATGCATTTCCATTCCTACCCTAACAACCCAAATTTCCCCAGACCTTGCTACAAGCAGCTTGATCAACTCTCTGTGCTCTGCAGGGAACTCCTTCAAACCAGGCACCCGCCACCGGCTTTTTTTCCCTCAAGGTGAATTAATCTGCCTTGCATGAGTAATCCTATTTAATACAATAGGTTGCCTTGCAAGAATGAGGGAAGCAAGTTTGAAACATGCTTTTATGCAAGTACTGTAAAAGACCACAGAGTAGTTCATCAGGGGACACTTCAGCAATAAAACGACAGTTACCGGTAAAGTCCAATAATAAAATAAAGGGTAATTTAATAAGGGGATTTTTAACCCATTTAACGGGAACTAAATTTGGAACCCTTTCTTCAAGTGGTCAGGCACTTGCCTAATCCTACTTTCTGTTAATCAGTAAAGTAAAAAATCAGGCAGTGATCTCTTCCTTTGATGTTTATGTTATGGGAGAGCACTACTCAATGTAAAGAAATTTCAGTAAAAAAGCAAGTGAAGTTGGACATACAGACCAACCTCTGAGCAGGTACCTACCTCTTGAGACAACAGAGGTCCTGTGCCTTGACTCATTTAACACCAGGTAACACAGACATGCAAATTATAATGCAAGAATCCTGCAGTGGCAGGAAGAAGGAACGTGGAACAGGATGCTGTGACCTGAGAAAAGTAAAAGCTGCAGAGATTAGTGTTGATGCAGAAGCCCTGTGAGCCCCCTTCAGCATCCTTAATCTAGTCTTCATCATCTCTGACCCATCCTACCAGTCCTCTGTGGGACGGAGAGGTAATATCTAGGAAATGTGGGGTGCTGGCTGACCTGCCAGGAACAGCAGTGGGTGGCTGCTCCCTGCTGTATCACTTTGCTTTCCAGATTCAGCCCAACAAACAACAAAACTTGACACTATTTTATGAACCTCTAGAGGTCAGGCTGATGCAAAGCATCTTCCCAGCGATGCCTTCTGCTAAGTGCGGGTGACACCTGCTGGAGTCCTCTCCTCCCACAGCCCAGCCTCCCACCACCCCCGGCTCTGCAGGGGTTTTTATCTGCCCAGGCTGGTCCTCCTGGGGCTCTGCGTGCACTGAATCCTCCAGAAAGTCACTTGGGAGCGTGAAAATAAATCTGGGTGGCTCTTTGCTATTGCAGGAAGGCAAGAGATGTTTTTATCTGCACATCTACATATGTTACCTCTTCCACTACTGTGGTGATGCAGGTTTATTTTCACCATATTCTGAGGTCTGGTCTCTCCTTTTCCTTTGGCATCCTTCTGCAGGAGCTGTGCTAGAACACAGCATATTCCCACAGGGAAAAGTCCTGAGTGGGCGCTGAAATGGGACCATAAAATACGTTATTCATCTTCCATAGGATCACAGAATGTTTTGGTTGGAAACAGACCTTTAAGATCATGGAGTTCAAACGTTAAGCCAGCACTGCCAAGCCCACCACTGAACCATCTCCCTAAGCAGATCCACAGGCCTTTTCATTGCCTCCAGGGACGGTGACTTCCCTGTGAAAAATAGTCTTAACTTCTCTCCTTCCACCTCGAAGCCACCTAAGACTGCAGGTGAGGGCAGGTGATCCCTGAAGAGCTCTGAGAGGCCCTCATTTCCTACATTATATTATTAAAAATGTATATATATGTTTCAGTGTATATTGTCTGAATGCACCTGTACAGTGCTGAGCTGCAACTTCTTCAGAACACAGCGGAAAAGGTTCACGTGTGGGACACCTGCAGCCCTTAAAGGGCTGTTGCTGAAACCTTACAGCGACACTGACGAATCCTGGCAAATTTCTCACCGTTTCCTCACAACCCGCAGCGCTACCGACCAACCCACACGGGACACCCCAAGTGAACGGTGGGGACATGGGAATCCCGGGGTCGGTGTTCCCTGCTGAGGAACCCGCTGAGGAAACTGCAGGAGCGGGATATGGGAGGAAAACCGCCCCCCCAGCCCCGTGACAGCCCGGCAGGCACCGCCCGGGGCTGCGCCCGCAGCCGCCACCGGGCGAGGAGAGGGGACGG